CTCATTTTTATAGCATTAATACACAATGTTATGGCTCTCTTTTTCATAGCCACACAAATCTAGAGTTCATTCCTCATGGACTGCAGTGGATTTTATGGCCAGTACTTATGGCACCAGCACTCGCTGTGTAAACTACTTTCTCAAAATTGCCTAACCTAACTGCCATACATTTACGTAATATAATATATACCACCATTTCAATTTAGCGGCGTGTGACAGGGTGCAGAGAGCAGGATGGTACGCTGGCTGGAGTTCCTGATTCCACAGTGGGCCCTGCACACCGGGAGCATAATTCTCTCTATGGGACGTTTACAGCTTCTCCAGATCTGTTTATACCATAACAAACTCGGACAGTATTAGCTCCTCTGAGTCAGAGCTGTGCGCAGTTAGCAACACTGTGAAATACACCAGAGCCTGAGCTGGAGCAGGGCTGAATGAAGTAGTGCAGGGTCAATGCCTTTAGACCAGTGTTAACCCTTGTGTGGTGTTGTTTTGTAACTCAGTGGTCTGGTGGACCCACCGTATTATTGTTATTTTAAATCAATACAGCCATAACAATTTATCTAAAAATACCAGATGTTTAAAATATCACAAGTGTCCAGCGTAGGGTTCTAGTTTAGCAGCTGTAGCCAGTCAGCAGCCTGTCCATGTTGTCCACCATGACACACACACACAGACATACACACACTAACAGCAGGCCATGTAGGAGAAGAACAGAGTGAAGGGACACAGCACCTCCACACTTTTATTCCCTGCAGGTTCACCCCAACACCACATGTGTAATATAAATGTGTGGGGGGTGAACAGTGTGAAGTCATTGAAAATGTGTTATTTTGTATGTTCTTCACAAAAAATGAGCAAAGACCAATGAATCTGAGGTTGAAATAATAATACATTGCATCAATTTTTCTTTTGGTAAACACTAAAAATGGGACCCACAGACCCCAACACCACATTAGAGTTAATGAAACAAAACTATATCTACAACTGAACTGCAATGAATGTAATATGCTGAGTTCTTTGGATTGTGCTGAAACAGGTCAAAGTAAAACATTTTCTTTCTGGAAACCTAGTTTGCTTCTTGTTAAATGCCCTGACTTCCCAAATCTTTGAAAGTCCACATCTGTTAAGCTTAATGTACTATGACAGCAGTAATTCATTTTACCTAAAATTTGCTACTGTGCCTTTAAGACTGATATGTGTAAATCCTCTCTGTTCTGATTGGCTGCCCCGTCTTGTGCCTCACTTAAAATGCAATTCAGAATGAAACACTCTTTATAACTTCACTGTGAATGGGTGGAGCTAAACGTCTGTAGGCTGATATATGTAAATTTTGGTCTTTGTGACATCACAAAAACATTTTTTTCAAAGCAGCTCAGTTTGTGCATATGGACAGTGTAGACGGGCGTGAACGGTACATTTTGAAAAGTTAACATGTTAAGTTTACATACAAAAGTTACATTTACAAACAACATCAAACTGTTTGAAAAGACTTAGGAACATTCAGTTCTCTATGATATGAGCCCTTTAAAGTTAACAGCACTGATATATAATTCCCTTTGCCATAATTCTAAGAAAAGAAAACAGAAGAAAACTGTCCGATCAGTTTTGCAAGATGTGTTTGAGTGAAAGTACAGAAGAAATGTGGGTTAATTACATTTGTTAATGCAAACCTAAATGTCATCTGGTACTGTTTTACCATGACACACTTGGAAAATATTGAGATGCTGAATTTTATTAATGCTGCCAAGCACTTAAATGAAGAATTGAAGAGCTTCTTACAGCCCCAGCTCACTTACAACTGCAGCTTCAGAGACTTCAGTTTTTTTCTTTTTCTCAAAAGTGGAGCACGAGTGAAAGATACTGTGTTGTTCAGTAGAAGCACCACTTTGCTGCTGAATTAAGCAGTGATTCACATATCTGTCTTTAGCTTTGTCCATAAGAGAAGCCTTTATTTAACAAACAGTTAAAATATCCTAGAATTAAGACAGTATTGAAGGTGCACTTGTGAAGGCCCTCTTTACATTGTCCATCTGTATATTGAATATCCCCCAGTTAGAGTTATCAACATGAAAAATATATTCTCTACACTACATAATCTCTTCATTACAGACGGTCAGCTCTAATGTAGGCCAGGCTCGTAGCGTACCCTCATCTGAGCAGAGCTGAAACGCAGCCCAGCTGCCTATTATGGGATGTCTGTAACACTGGCCTCAGACTGCAGTTAGGAAAATATTACCTAATAAGGGACAGGTCCATTAATGTGAAGTCAGTTCTGCTGGACCCATCAGTCTCTGAAAGTCCAGTGCCCTCTGTTGGATTGATGGGGTATTATTACTCAATGGATGAAAAATACAGCCCAGCTAAAACAGACGTGCCAACACAGTGAGGCCACTAGTTTCACTGAACCATTATAAACAAGACACTGGTGATACTAATAATAACAGCTCTCTAAAAAATAAGTGCTCCTAAATAGTGCTTGATGAAGTCTGTGGCCGTGCACACTTTAAAGGTCCTTTCCAGTAAATGGTTCCTTTGCGAACCATTGCTGTAAGTGAGTTTGAAGAACGCTTTGAAAGTTAAAAGAACCTCCACATAATGTAAAGGTCCATGAAAGAACCCTTACATTTGAATAGAACCTTTGCTTTATGTGAAGGATCTTTAAACCTTTTTCAAAAGAGTGTTGGAAAACACTTTTACATTTTGCAGAAGTTCTTTAAACTTAAATAATGGTTCTTCAGAGAACCATCATTTGAAAGGTTCTTTGAAGAACCAAAAACAATTCTATAGCATCACTCAAAAAATACTTTTTTTAAGAGCACAGGAAAAAACTTTTATCGGTATAGAACCTTGGATGGTCTTTAAACTTTAAAAAAGGTTCTGTGCTTGCACATAGAACCTTTTTTAATCTGTTTTTTGAAAAGCGTAAAAGAGCTTTTGTACCATTTTGTACCATATATATGAAAACAATAAATATATTTCATTAAACATACAAAAATGAGAACATACTGTTTTACTGATGAATATATATATATATATATATATATATATATATATATATATATATATATATATATATCAAAAATATAAATAACATTTAAATACTAAAATTAACCATAATAAATGGAAAGAAAAAAAATCACAGACTTTAAGTGAAAAAAGGAACTTATTTGCATCTAATTTTAAAAATGTATCCAGTGATGATATGAACCTTTAGAGCAGAAGACTAAAGATTTGTCTAAATTGTTAAAATAAACAAGTATTTTAACACGAAGTGTAATGTGGCTGTGTGAGCAGAAGGTGGCAGTGTTTTACTAACCATATTCCTCTAAAGCCGAGCAGGGTCTTGATTAATGCATGCAAAGTCCAAACAAGCTTAGTTTAGACAACCTTCCAAACATTCCTATTGTCATATATTAGATAAAAATGAATTAAATACACAAAACTTTAGCAAAGCAGCTGGCAGGGTATAAATGAACACTGTGAGTGAAGGTGTGCTCTTTCCGTTTTGACCACATTTGATGAACAGGGTTTCTCTGGGGTTTAATAAACTTCACAGCTCTAAATCTTGAGCGCTCCAGTTTGCCTGTCGAGAGCCTGTGTGCAGGGAGTTGATTCAGCGTTTTAAAGAGGATAAATCGGAGGAGATCTCAGGAGGATCTGCGCTTTGCAGGAAGGATTAATGAGTTTGGAGAATAGAGCATGCCACAGAGCACACAGGAGCGTCTTAACTGGCAATTAACATAACAGCAGAGAGTTTTTACAGAACACAGATGAATATTAGCCAGCCTGTGGCTGGGGCAGTCTGCTCTCCCTCTCTCTCCCTCTCTCTATCTTTTTTAAGGGGGAGTTGATTAGGAATTCTGAGCACTTGCTGTCTCTCCAGCACAACAGATAGCCACAGAGGCTCTCGGCACTCAGCTCATCAAAAGAACAAACCACAAAACCCCTTCGTTCTCGTGCTCCACACCCTCATGCAGAGAGAAAATCAAATTCAGTGCTTTCTCTATCAGTGATAACAGAAAAAAATCTATCCATAATCAAATAATCAGCAACCTGGCTAAAATAAAATAGAGCAGGAAGGCAGATTCAGCGTGGAATTAAAGCAAAGCCCATTTTTAGTGCTTCTCTCGCAGACCCCAGTTAGAGCAGTGAAGGGCTGGAAAGCCTGCAGGCTGGGCAGTAGAGTGGAGTGGAGTGGAGTGCTGTGTCTTGCATGCAGGGCACAAGAGGGAGCTTTGGCAGGACATGCTGAACACTGCAGCCACTGCTGAGCCTCAGTGTGCCTGCAGGAAAAGGCCTGGCTGCCGTGGAAACGGGAAGAAGGCGACCCAAAGGAGGCAAGCCCTCAACAAGGGGGCGGGCATCGGAGAGAGAGAGAGAGAGATAAATAGACAGAGAGAGAGAGAGAGAGAGAGAGAGAGAGAGAGAGAGAGAGTGGTGGAGTAGAGTAAGAGGGAGCGAAAGACTGATAGAAAGGGAGGGAGGGAGGGAATTGAAAGGCAGAAGCAGTCAGCAAGTGAGAGGGAGAGAAAGACAGAGAGAAATGGTGGGAATACAGAAAGAGCAGTTGTGGGTATAAAAGGGAGGAGAAAAAAGAAGAAAAGAAGAGAAGAAGTGGATAAAAAAGGTGTAAGAGAGAGAGAGAGAAGAGAGACAGTGAGTGAGAGAAGGGGGAGAGAGAGTAAGAAGGAGAGAAAGGAGAGAGACAGAGAGAGAGAGAATGGAGAGAGGAGAAAAAGAGTGAGAGCTAAGGGAGAGAGTGAGTGAATGACAAGGCAAAGAGGGGAAAAATAGAGGGAAAAGGGGGAGTGAGAGAGAGAGAGAAAGAAAGAAGGGAGAGTGAGAGAGAAGGGAGCGAGAGAGTGAAGTGGGAGAGAGAGGTGGGGTAGACTAAGAGGGAAAAAGAGACTGAAAGAAAGAGAGAAGAGAGGAGAGAGAGAGAGAGAGAGAGAGAGAGAGAGAGAAAGAGGGAGGGAATTGAAAGCCAAAAGCAGGCAGAGAGAAAGGAGAGCGAGAGAGAGAGAGAGAGAGAGAGAGAGAGAGAAGGAGAAAGAGAGAGAGACCTCATTTCCACTTTGAAGAAAAAAAAAACGAATCTGCGCTGCACTGCTGCTTTCGTCCATTCACAAAATCATACGGCAGGAATACGGACGACAAGAAAGCAGAAGGCAGAGAGAAAAATCTATTCACCTCCCCTGAATAGACCTCTGGAGCAGCTGGACCAGGCATGGGGGCGTCCCGAGAGCAGAAGAGGAGCAGGGAATACCCTACTGACCCAAACACCCTGCAGGGGGACCCCAAATGCCCCCAACACCCAGCCAGGACCATCACAGATGTCCAGGGAAGGACCTCTGACCACTAACAAAGCTTTCTTTCAGCTGCTGGATTGGTCACAGGCACAGCGGCGGCAGCAGATCGTCCCGGGACAGAGCGCGTCCAGTCGTGGTGTGATGTTGTGGGCAGTGCGGAGCGTCCCAGGACTGGGCCGGGGGGGCACTGTGCTCAGGTGGCTGCGGGGCAGAGTGTGTCGCAGGAGCGCGCTGATCTTCGTCCTGCTGTGGCTGGTCTCCTGGCTGTCACTGAGCGGACTGCTCTTCGTCCACAGGAGCATGTTCTCTGACCTCTGCACGGACGACAAGAGCAGGAGGATCCTCCAGAGAGTGGTAGGGCAACAGCTTTGACCAGTTCACTAATCATTCGCAGGTGACCGCACTGGTCACAGAGTTATTTTCTATTATTATATTACATAGAGCAGTGTAAACAGCAAAGTTTCAGTTGCTTGGTGTAGGGCCATGACTTAGTGACTTCAATTGGATGGACGAGCATCTGACTATAAACTGGACTATTTTATTACTGACATCACCCTATTTAGATCTTAAACTGTGTTTAAAATACAAATGTACTAAACACTCTACTGTTTGAAAGTTTGAATAAGAATGATATCATAATAGTTACTGTTATTTTATTCTATAATAGCAGATATAGTGTAGACTGAAATACTATAAGCAGGCCATTCTATCAATGGGGTGACAAACAGAGTATGAATACTGAAGTGTAATTTAAGTGCATGACATAGTCTGTTATACCGAACAGCATTAGTAAAGTTGTAAAACCACTGGCCGACCGTAACGCCACTGACAAATGACTTCTAAAATATAGTCCAGTGTCACTTCAAGTCATATTGTACATAGAAAATGACAAATATTGCATTCTTGTTGCTATTTTATATTTCAATTTTACCAAAGTAACACCACTGGCAGTTTTTTGCCATCATATCAAGCTATCAGAACTTTAGTCAAATTTATCAGAAATATAAAAAGAGATTTCACTAACCATTCCCTTCTCAGAGATACTCGTTCTTCCTTAGAGACATCCATACAAGAAGTAATTCCACTGACAATTAAAATATATATATAAAATTATATATATTATATATATATATATATTATTAACAATTATTTTTATTATTATTACTATAAATTATTATTAAGACAATTGCAACATAGGGAGTACATAGAGTCACAGTCAGTAATTTTAATGCATCTGTATAATTAAAATTAAAGCATCAACAATATTGTTTTACACAAAAACAATACTTTAGCACCTAAGCAGCCACTGCTGTGTCCTGCTGTTTTGCATGCACAATATGACTAAAAATCACTAAAATAAACTCACTAAAATGATAATTCAAAATAAAAAATATCCTAGAGACATAAAGAATACACAGACATCAACTTTCTGTGGTTTACTCTTATTTTTGAGCTCATTTTCATGCCTTCACCATTTGCTCCAGCAGTGGTAGAATGACCCCAGAAGGTATTTCAAGATGTTCTATTCAATATTTCAAGGTGCGTTTCAAATGGAAAATAATATACTGTAGTTATCAATTTTAAGTCACTTGACTAATATAACAATGCTTGTGCCTGTGCTGAGGATGTTCAAGTCTACACTTTAAAGACAAGACATAAATGTTGTAGCCAAAAGGAAAACTAGCAGTGGTCTCTGCTTATGTGTGTTTCCATAGGAAAATAAGAAAAAAATCTAAATAAAATAAATAAATCTCATGAACTGGTCAGTGTTCAGTGGAATATCTCCTTGAAAAACTGCATACAGTACAAAGTTTTAGCTTAAATTATTGCATCATATACACAACAGTGACTGCAATGTTAGAGTCGTCTAACATAGGACTAAGACTCAAATGCACTTGTGTAGGAATGAGCAGCATAAATCTGCTCGTAAAGAGCGCAGTTCATACACCAAAGCAGGTCTTTTATGAGCCAAGGTGATAACTTGCAGTCTTTCTGCTGTCTGTAAGCTTTTGGACAGCATGTCAGAACCTTTTAAAAGTGCCAAAACAGCAGACTAATCCATGCAATTCAACCTTTTCAGATTTTAACATTTACTGTTATAGTTCTTATGAGCTCTGAGTCTGAGCAGAGCTGACAGCAGCTGGACTACAAAAGGTAGAGCTGGGTAAAGTGATCTAACATCATCCTCAGACATACTGGACTGTTTCTCCACTTAAATAATGACTCAAGCACAACTGAAGTTCACTCTTAAAAATTAAGGTGCCAGAAAGGGTTCTTTGTGCAATGTCATAAAAGAACCACTTTTGGCTCCCTAAAGAACCTTTCCATGGATGGTTCTTTAGAGAACCTTTTCTGTTAATGAGATATGAGAGCGAAGAACCTTTTCAAAGTTTAAAGAACCTCTACATAATGCATAGGTTCTAGGGAGACCCTTTACATTGGCAAAGAGCAATTATATTATGTGAAGGGTCTTTAAGCCTTTAATAGGTTCTTCACCCTCATGTATCTCTTTTTCAATCATGGTTCTTTAGGGAACCATTTAAAGACACCTTTTCTTTGAAGTGTGTCGGGAGTGAAAAAGCTCCTCCAGTACTGAGTTCGCTAGAAGATCCAGCAACTATTAATATGAAAATTACATTACTTATTATTTTTCTCTTTTTTGGGATTGTTTGGGTCTGAAATAAAATTCTGAACTTCCAAAGTAAGAAGTGGGACCAAATCACAAAGCGGTCCAGGAGCAGAACCAACATAACAGAACAGAATTAAATTTTCCTTTCTTCAAAAAAGAAAGAAAGAAAGAAAGAAAGAAAGAAAGAAATGTGAATGTTTAAAATGTAACTGAGCAAAACCTCACAAATATACATGTAAAAGCATAAGCAAAGTATAATGATATGAAAATCAGAGTGCACATCATACACATTGTACTTCAGTACTTTTCCACCGGTGCATATAAAGCTGTATGCAAAATGTTTCAGTATTTCCTGTCAAACTGCATTTTTGTTCAAAATGAGTCAACATATCCTCTACAGGATGGCATTTTTCAAATTAAAATATAAAACGTACCATAATTTTTGCACAGGACTCATTTTACCTGTTCTTTTTTCTTCTCCAGTACGTTATATTCAGCAAATAAACAGTGATTGTGCATTAAAATGTGCAGAAGTTCTCTGTAGAGCGTACGTTAACTTCCACTTAGAAAGTCACCAAACATGTCATTCGACCAGGGGTGTTCAAACTTTTGCATACGACTGTACAGCGATCCATAACCAGTATATGACGCTGTGCAAACAGCGGTCAGGATGGCCCAGCTATTATTTTAATTTGCGGTCCACAGGCAGCTTGCGGTCGGCGTGACACGTCTGGAAGTTCTGATAAATTCTCCGCTGAACAATAAACACGCCTTTGCATAGGCTTAATCTGTCAGCCTGTGATTCATGAGCAAGAGTAGTAACAAGCCTGCAGTGAAGGATTACGCAGTGTTCCTCAGGAGGAATCCTAAAGCTTTCTTTGAACTCCTGAATTGGTCAGTGTCAAGTGAGTGATGAAGTGGCATTTCTGCTGACCGCTAAAGCGAGCCTCCTAATCCTCCCCGAAAGAGCCACAACAAGGAACATAAAGAGGCACAGCGGCTCTGATTAGGTTTCTACTGCAATTTAAGAACTCTGTCAGTTTCACAACACCAGGAATAAAGTTTGCAGTAGAAGTTTGCACATATTGTTGAGTACAAGAAGTGTCCAGTACCTGGTTACTAGTTCTGTACTTGGATGGATTTTTTTTTTTAGTAATACTACTTATCTACTGTTTACTCAGTTACATTTTAGCCACTCACACTGAGTTGCTAAATCATTTTTTGAGTTTAATTTTCTTTAGCTTTGTTGGTTCAATACCTGAACTGCCTTGCTGTTGCTTGCACATCTCACTTTGGAGCTTCATCATTTTATTTCAGACCAAAAAAATCCCCAAAACGAGCTTAACAAACTTCATTTCCAATGCTGATAGATGCTGGATCTTTTTTTAGTTCTACTTAAGTTGTTTTTGCTGCTTTTCCTTCTACTTGAGTCATTAATCCATTTAAGTAATACTACTGTGGTGTGTTTGAGAACGTTTCTGCATGTTTATTCCAGGTATTGTTCTCCTGCAGTTATTCTCTGGGTTTATTTTGACAAGCTCTCTTGACGTGAGGGCGGGGCTGGTTCGTCTTCGGGGGGATGTGTGTCAGAACAGACAGGAACTGGGGGGTCAGCTGGAGCTGGAAGCGAGAGTGCAGACATGAGCTGAGTGTAGAGCTAGCTGTTAGCCTAAAGCCTTGCTTATAGTACGGCATGGCTGTAGCTGACTACAGCCTGTTAATAGAGCAAAGCGACATGTGCGTAAGCTGTGTGTCTCCTTTAATAGCGGTGAACACTACAAAGCTTTTGGTGAAAATGGGAATTCCATTGATTTTTCATAATTACTGCATAATTTAATGCTTAAGATGTAAACAGTCATTCAGAGAGGTGTGATATGAGATGTTCTGGTCTAGAGAAATTTACCGAGTCAGAACTGTGATTGTCACCACAGAGGTGGTGACAGGAACAAGGCGTCTGAAGAGTTTATTGCCTCTAAAAGCTCCCTCACAGAAAGTTATTACATGAAGTGGTTATAAATATTCTGCCTGATGCCTGAAGCATTGTTTTATGACAGTTTTGAGAAGACTGTGGCCTAAAACCTATATTTTTTTCAATCCATTCATGGTGGAGAGGTACATGCACAGTGCCGTTCGACAAAATAATCCTCAGAGAAAACTTAGTTGTTCAGATTTTCCTCTACTTTATCATCATTAAAAGCTCAGAAGACATGTAGGTTCAGTGGTCATTTTCGATAGCGACTAAAACGGCTATATTTGTGTTATAGATATCCCGACTCCTGCTTCCTATCACCACCACTGTAAAGAAATCATTCGTAAGTTATTCTACAATCAACCATTTCACGTCAAACCACTCTGAATGACTCTGTTTACATCTCAACCATAGCATAATGTAAAAGTTTAGAAAAATCGATGGAATTTCTGGTTAAGTTTAGGCTTAGACTATTCAAAACCATAACACAGTTACATATCTCTGTTGTCGGAAGTAAACCTCGTATCTCCAAAATGATAACTTTACAGGAGAAGGAAAAAAACGAATTTATGTTAAATGGAACCAGAGGTTTTTCCACATCATTTTGGGCAGTTTCTTTTGGTTCATTCTTCATGAAATTTACACACAATTGAAAAACGACAAATAATGGAGATACAAGGTTTTCTTCCCACAGCAGCGATATACAATTTAATACCATAAACTGAAGGAGCCCACATTTCAGTTCTTCACTCTCAT